CCCCCCGTCTCGGACTGGTCCGATTCATGTCCAAGCCACACACACCTTCTCTTGTCGCAGACCGTTGCAACGTTTGCCAGTCGTCGTAGTTGGTAGCTGTAGGTAGTGTCCTACTAAGTATCCACGACTCCTAGCAGAGCGCTGGTCTCGGGAGGCGACCGCCGAGCCGTACCTGACAACTTGGCGCCTACTAGCATTTCTCTCCTCTATCTCTTGCTTCTCTCCACGCACCCTCCTACTTTGCCATCGCCGTTCTTCCCCCCGTCGGCCTCAAGAACAGAAACCAGCCTGCTCACTACCACCTCCCTTCACACAACATCCCCAATTTCATCCACCATCATCCCTACCCCATCGCCCCACCACCCTTCGACCCCCGTCTCACCCTCGACCCTGCTGACCTGCATCCCAGCACTCATCCCTGCGGGCATGTACCCATCCCAGGTCGATATCCGCACTTTCTACTCTTACACCCGCAACGAGCACCGCAAGTGCACCACTCACGCTCAACTTAATACTCTCTAGGGCGTTCACAAGTATAACACAAAGCCCAATGCGGCCCTCCGCAAGCAGCTCGTCGCCGAGCTCGATATGACTCCTCGTGGTGTCCAGGTGCGTCCCTCCCCATCTCGTCCCCTTGGCGTCCCATCCGCCGATCAACAATCCGACGTGTCACGCCCTCCATTCTTCAATGCGACAAGTGAGTCCGCCTGCCACATTCCCGTGGATCTCACTGATGACATGCTTCTCGTGTGTGTGTGTCGCAGCGTGAACGGATCGACGATGGAGATCGCGCTCAGCTCGATGCGCTGCTCGATCGTGTGCGACGTCTCCACCGGCTCGACCGCATCTTCCATCGATCCTAGCAGTGGCGCTGGAATCCCGCAGGCCGCGCAGCGCCTCTCAGTCGACTCGGCGCGGCCTTCGTCAATCCTCTCCAGCGGCTCCTCGCTCCGGCCCCCGTCCACCATCTCGGGCATCTCTGTCGACTCGACGCAGTGCTCCGCACGCTCGTCGAGTAGCTCGGTCGTCTCCGTCCGCTGGGATGACGCGGCAGTGGCGCCAGCATGACCGCAGGAAGGAGTGCGAAGAGAAGGAGGAGGGCAAGAAGACGAGCCGCGAGAGCAGGCGGTCGTCCGAGTCCCACCGGCACATGCCCATCTCTGAATTCTTTCCCGAGATGCAGGTCAGCGCGCAGAGGCAGTCGACGGGCTCGCCGTCCCCCCCGGGCTCGTTCGTGGACCATCCAATGGTGCGCATCGAGGAGGCGACAGCGGACGGGCACTCTCTGCCCACGGACAACGAGAAAGTCGACGACTGTTGGGCGGGCGAGAGCGCGTCCTGTTTCGGAGCAGACGTTGCTTGACGTCCAAGCTTGGTTTACGCAGCACGACGCCTTCATCTAGACGTAGTTGAGAGCATGTAGCAGATTAGCCATAATGAGCACTCACGTCACGCTGTACCAAATGGAGAACATTTGGGTTAAGTCTTTATCAAATATTTGGGGTGGACTTCAAATATTTGGAGGAATCACAAGAGGACCCACAGTGCACGCAAGCGGAAAATGATCCTCCCTATGTAGCACTCACAGCAAATATTTAGCAAATATTTAGGGGTACCCTCCTCCCTATATATGTCCCAGATATTTGGTGTTTGCTGCCTCAAATATCTGGGAGGGGCATCCCTCCAAACCCTCCCAAATATTTGAAGGGGCCACTATAACATTTGGGCCAAATAATTCGTGTTTTACTATAACTATAAGGATCAAAAAATTTATCTAGTGTGTACTGGTGACGCAAGTCCAAAGCGTGTGCGCATCTCGACATGGCCCCTCGTAGAGACCTATTGGCACGCCATATCCATTGTTTTACAATTGGCAGAACGCCTCTCAAGTCAGCCGGGATGCGCCCACTGCTCAAGTCTCGGTGATGTGGGCGAAGTGCAAACAAGCCGTCGCGAGCTCCACCTCGCACGTTCTGAATCCGACCTCCGCGACATGCGCGAGCTGCGTGCGGCTGATTCGCGAGTAGACTTGCGTGAATGTTGTTGGGACCCGGCCTGTAGCATGCTCCTCAGGGATTTGTTGTGAAGATACTGGTACAGTTCTTGGAAGGCGGCATCGGAATCGGTGTTAGGAGAGGTTGCAAGGAACCACAAGAGGATTATTGCGACGAGCTGCAGG